ATACGTAAATAATTTACACTCTTATATGACTATGGACATCTAAAAATAATAATCAAAGAATAGGCACTGAAATAGAAAAAAAATAATTAAACTTTAAGAACCAAAAATTCAATTTTCTCAAAGAAAGTATTATCTTGAGATTGCAAAATTAGTTCAACAATTTTCATTTGGTTGCCTTACGTATCATGCTTGTGTCGTTTTTTACTTATTATAAGAAATTTTTTAGTACACTATATCGGTTAAAAATTAATTTTTAAAAATTATAAAGTCTTTTAATTATCTACATAAATTTAACATTGTGTCATTTAGCCCAAATTGTAAACCCTTTTAGCAGGCTCATTTACTTTTTTGAGTAATTTTTTTTATTATTTGATTTTGTGCTTAAATTTTCAAAAAATCATAATTGTTATTTTAGCTTTCCATAATCTAATGAGAAAGAAATATTAATGATTTATTTTTATATTTTAGACTTAAAAATATATTTTAAATTATATTACTCTTATTATTTTAAATTTATTCCTTCAATTTGTCATTTCTTATAGAAATTCTCATCCATTTAATTTTTCCTTTTTACTTTTTATTAAATTTTATTTATTTATAAATATGGTTTATTTTTTTCAATGTATGGATTTTGGAATAAATTTTTATGAATGATTATTATATTTTATTAAATAAATAGATAAATATATATAGTCTATACAATGGATTCATATAATTTAAAATGAGACTATCATGATTCTAAACATATAGGTTGATCTAAAAGCTAAAAGTGTATTGCAAAAAAATAAATAAATAAAATAAAATAAAATTCTCGAGTTTTGGGAAAAAATTAATTGATAAATGAAAATAATAAGTGAAAAAAAGAAGAAGAAAGTGGTTGTTATACGTGAGAGGTCTACAACAGAGACCAAGCATATATAATCTAGGAATAAAAATATCTATTAAGAAGAAAAAAAAAGAAAAAAAAAAGAAACGAATCCATGCATGTGTTTTATTTATTTCTTCTTCATATAAACATCATTTATTGAAATCAATTTCTCTAAAATAAAATAATTAAAATTAGGTTTTAAAAAAAAGCATGATGGTACCATACTTTTCAAATAGAGTTTGTTTTTGCTAATATTATTGATTATTTTTTAATATGTATATATAAAGCTAATTAGTGTACATATTTTCAAAAATTAACATTCTCTTCAATATTAGATAAAAATAAATTTTGATTTTAAATTTTATGAAATATTTTTTACATTATTTGTTACTTTATTTTTTGATGCAATCTTATGAGAAAAAAATATTATAATTATTCATATGTATTTTCTTTTTTATTTTTTACAATTAATTGAAATTTACTTTTTAGATTATGACAAATTTTTATTTACGAATCCATGCCCAAAGAAAAACAAGTCATGATTTTTTTTGAAGAAAGAAATCTATTAAAAAGAATATAAAAAAAATTTAATTAAGTACAGAATTTTTATGAAAAACCATAAAGTTAGGTGAAAAAAAAATTGCCTTTAATTTTGAAATATTTTATTGGAGTCGTGCGTGAGATGGTCAATTCATAATGAAATATAATTGGCTTAAAACAGCTCAGTAGTAACGTAAACTGTAGACATCTTTGATCATGGTTCTCTTTCAATTCTATGAATGTTCACTTCTCACAAGAGTTGTGAATATGACAATTATGGGCGATCTATAACTCCTTTCATGTGGCATGAGCTTTAACCGACTTAGTAAAAATTTAGCTTCCAAGAAGCTTCGTTGGTCTTTACGTGGCAAACTCTATCCTGCCTTACCGTACTCTCCTAATTAAAGTTTTAATCCGTAGAAAATTAGGATTAAAAGTGCCTGTGTATCCATATATAAAGACAGCCGATTTCTTTTTGGCATTATAACCAGTGTAGCTCTTTCTTTCTCTCTATCGTGCGATAAGATTTTCCTTTTCTTTCCCTTGTCTAGAAAATCTCAGCCGCTTTATATTACCTCTTCAAGATGAAAAAGATTCAAGAAAGCCTTCGATCTCTAGCAGCAAAGCTAAGGTTCGAGAAGAAGAAGAAGGCTGGTTGCGAGAAGCTAGTAGCCACACCAAGCAGGCACTTCCCAGTGTATGTAAGCGATCAAGAACTTGCTGATGGAAAGCTAAAACGTTATGATGTTCCAGTTGCATGCACATCTTCGATAATTTTTCAAGCTTTGCTGCGTCAGTTCGAGGATATCCTGCTGGTGGACGAAGGGCCAATCACATTATCTTGCTCAAAACAGATGTTTGAGTCGGTCCTCAAACTTTCTGTGGATGGATTAAGAATGTCAAAGGCTCATGATTCATGAAGAAGTTGAGAGTTTTCACCACTAGCATTTTAGGTCGTAGATTTTTTTTTTTTTAAAATAAATTTTATGGGTTTGTTTTTCATGCTAGGGTTACTTGGTTTGTCAGCTATTCATGGCTAATATAAATATTAGCATAAATTGGATGTAATTTTTTTTTAAATTTGCTGATCAATAACATATTCTATTTTTAATGATTCATGAGAAAATAAGATTAGGGTTTACAGTAACATCAATTTAAGAGATTGTTTCTATTCAAATTGAATGTTTAATTTAGCTTAGCACAAAATTTCTTTTCGGAATCAATGAGTTGGGAATCCCATTGTGAGAGTTGCCATCCAGTAACAGGACCGGCAAGTGATGTGGCATCTGGGTTCTCAAATGCTGGGTTCAAATTGAGGAAAACATCATCTATGTTGAAAACTATTGATTATTCAGATTGAGAAACGACATGCTCAGAATCATCCGAAGCCTTTGTGATCACTTCAAGCAAAGACATGATGAATAAATATAATAAACGAAGCTCAAAATCTATGGGAAAAAAAGTAAGTAAACTTAGAAACTAATCCGATAAAATCAACAATTGAAACGAAAAAAAAAAAAAGTAGAAGAAGAAAAACAATGCTTGAATCTAAAATTGATTGAACCAAACAATCTGTATATCATAACATCAAGAGAAAAAACAATAAAGACATTACTGATGAGAAAAGAGAAGCAAAGCCATTAACCCAATTATCAAAAACGAAAATCTAAACTGAACCAAATTAAAATTCGGTTTTTTCAGTTAAAAAACTGATATTTTGGTTTGGGTTTAAACTGTTTTTATTTTACCAAATTCTTAATGGGCTTTGGGCCTATGGTCCATGGCTTTTCATTTTTTTTAGCGTGTGGTCTGGGGCATTACCCATCTTACCAACTTTCCTTGTGGCCTAGCCTGTAAAAAAAACAAAAAAAAAATCAAGAACTTATAACCCAAATTTCCAAATATTTGGTCTAAATCTTTTATGCCCATTTACACAGATGAAGGATGGGTAAAAAAATCTTTTACGCCTTTTATCCCTTGCGGCCTTGCCTGGTTAAGTTCATTACCTTTATGGTTGCATAATAGCGTCTCTCATTTGCAAGGCAGGGAACAAATTACATATGCAACTATAAGCACGTTTTAAGAAATTTTACTTTTATCTAACATGATGCTCTTCTCTTCTGAAATGCTTATTCTTTTGTCGGATAGCATATTATCGTGAACAAGAAAAAGTAGAAAAATACATAGTAATTATATATCTTCTTCATTTTTAAAAGAACATCAAGAAGATCGATCCTCCACTTCATTTTTATCAATCTCCTTCTCTGTCTTGCTGGCTTCCGGCCCATTTATCATGTTTTCCAGTAACTTATCTGCCTTTTCATTAGCCCACTTGACCTTAAACCTCGGCCAACTAAACATGTGAAGCAACTTGTCGGAAGGGAACATATCCACTACATTGAGACCGGACCCTGCTCGTGTCAATTCAGTGATAATGGTTAAGAATTCTTCAGGTTTTCGCATCTCCTTCCAATGCTTGCCCTTGACATTATGCCATTTGTTACAGAAAGCAACATCTTACTGATCAGGTTGATGGGCGATCCCTCTTTGGAAGAAATGGATCTAATGAGATTTGACACCTCTTCTTCCCTGATTGATCTGAATGTTCGCACACGTTTTGGACTAAGAACCTCTATCATGCAAAGTTTTTGTAACTGTTTCCAATAGTCTCCGTCAGGTGCAAATACAAGGTCTTGATAGTTGTAAAGCATGATTCTTCCAACTAGGAAAGGTCTTTCATAAAAATTCATCTCTTGGCTTTTTATCACTTCTTTTGCCATTTCCAGTGATGATATAACAACAACGGATAGTTCACCGAAATGAAGTTGCATGACATGCCCATCATTTTTCGGCTAAGCTTTTGAGGCGATAATGGGTTAAATAGCCAACCAAATGGTGAATGTTTCCAATGATGGATAACTTCCTTGGTCCAGGAGGAGGATTTGGACATGAGTTGCGATTTCTTTTCGATTTTTTACAAATTTGAAGTACAATAAAGGTGAAGAGGAGGAATGTTAAAAGCACACTGAAGGAGGGAAATTACCAATTCATAATCAAAAGTAAAGGATTAGTAGAGACTGATAAGTGATAGAGAGCCTTTAAAGAGAGAAGGCCCGAGATAGATCTTATATAAGATGATCGATTCAATATTTATTTCTTAAAAATAGATGATCAATATTAATCCACTTACTTGGTCTCGTCAATTCTGTACGTATAGAGTAGCATCATCTTGTATGCACTTATTATGTCAGCTCTGTTCAATAAAAATATCAAGTGGATACGGATTGCCTTACAAAAACTATGAATGTCCATCCAAAATTCATCTTTTTCAATGCTCAATTTCCAGATAACAATGATTCATAAATTAAAAGCAAATTGAGAAACTGATTTTCAGTTGGATAAGTAAAAAACAGAAAAAACAATCAATACCAAGATATCAATCCAAGTTGGCCTCTATAATTGTAGTCATCTCTACATCATCCACCTTTCTTATCAATAGCAGTAACAACCATTTCACTCTGATCTGTTTATAAATTTGCTTGCTTTTAGAAAATATGACCAACATCCATCCAATTCAGAGGTAGGTATTCTCAAATCTGTTCATACACTATCACTAATTTCATAAATTTAATCTCACAAATAAATTATAAGAAAGCCTAAAAGAATTGAAGTGTTTACTATTTATTGACGATTAATCCACATTCATGTTACTATTTATTTACTTTTCACTCACACTCATAAGCACTATTCAAATCATACTATTGTGATCTTCGATTTTTGTTTAGGCATTTAATATTGCATTTTTGTGATTTTTTTAGTTTTTGTCCAAGCATTTGATATGTAATTTTTAACAAATATTGTACTTTGGTCTTTAATTTTTTAAAAACTGTTTTTTTTTCAATTCTTAGTTTTATTTATATCATAATTTGGTTCTTCGATATAAAAAGAAATGAAAAAAGAGAAAGGAAGAGAAATCCTCAATGAGATCTATTCGGCAATTTTTACTATCGATCTTGGCTTTGATTTGTTCCTCGTGAATGAGGGAGTTTGTTTATGGTGGTTTCAAGTCATAAAATGATTAGAGGAAAGAAATCGAGACTCCAAAATATTTTTGAATTTGATTTGGATTTTTGAGTTTTTGAGATGCATTAAAATGAGTTTTAAGATTCTAAACAAAATTTTTAAGCTAATTTAAGTTATTTGAGGTGTTTTGGGACAAGAAAGGTGTTGAAATTGATTTCAGAAGGCTGAAATATGATGCCTTGTTTTTTCAACAAGATATCCAGCAATTATAGTTTCATTAAAAATTATAGACGGCTGACGCGTCGTCTCCTACGCAATGTGAAAGCAACGCGTCGTCTGCCATTTCACTTTATTTTTTTTACTTTAAGGGTTAGCCTATGTCTGTCTAGCCTTTACGCGTATGGACCTGGTCCTTCAAGCTCAATGGTGCAAGCTTGGCACGCGTATGCCCATTTGCTTTTGTGGGTATTTCTTTTTTATTATTTGATTTTGTGCTTAAATTTTGGAAAACTTATAATTATTTTTTTAGTTTTTCACTTCTAGCAAGTAAGAAAAATTAATGTCATGCTTTTTTATATTTTAAACTTAAAAATATATTTTAAATTATATTACTCTTATTATTTTAAATTTATCCATTCAATCTGTTATTTTTTATGAAAATTCTTTTCCATTTATTTTTTTCTTTTCATTGTTTTATTAATTTTTTTATTTGCAAATAAAATTTAGTTTTCTCAATGTCTAAATTTGTAATAATATATTTTATGAACATGATTATTTTTTATTAAATAAATAAATAAATATAGTTCATATGATGGATTCTTATAATTTAAAATGATACTAGCATGATTCTAAACATATATGCCTGATATAAAAGTTGGAAGCGTATTGAAGAAAATTTTTGGGAGTTTTTGAAATAAAAAAATATTTTAAAAATAATCAATTGATAATTAAAAGTAAGAAGTGAAAAAAAAAAAAGTGAATGTTATATGAGCAACACCTATGCATAGAGACCAAGCATATATGATCTAGAAATAAAAATATTTGTTAAGAAAAAAAAAGAAGGGAATTCACATATTTTTTACTTCTTCTTTATATAATCAAAATTTATTGAAATCAATTTCTCTGAAATAAAATAATTAAAATTAAGTTTTTTTAAAAAACTAATGGTGCCATACTTTTCAAATAGATTTTTTATGCTAATATTATTGATTATTTTTGAAATATATAAAGCTAATGTACATATTTTCAAAAATTAATCTTCTCTTCAATATTAAATAATGATAAAATTTTATGTTAAATTTTATAAAATATTTTTTTACATTAATTTTTACTTTATTTTTTCGATAAAATATTATGAAAAAATATTATAATTTTATATATGTTTTTTTTTAATTTGCAATTAATTGAAACTTTCTCTTTAGATTATTACAAATTTTTATTTAAAAATTCAAGTATAAAAAAATAAATCTTTTTTGAAGAAAGAAATCTATTAAAAAGAATATAAATAAGAATTAATTAAGTATAGAATTTTGATTAAAAATCATAACGTTAGGTGATAAAAAATATTTGTCTTTAATTTCTACATATTTTATTGGACTTAGGCTTGGTCAATTCATAATGGAATGTAATTGGCTTAAAACAACTCACTAGTAATGTAAATTATATACATCTTTGATCATGATTCTCTTTCAATTCTACGAATGTTCACTTTCCCAAGAGTTGTGAATATAACAATATTGGTTGATCTATAACTCCTTTCGTGTGGCATGAGCTTTAGCCGACTTGGTAAAAATTTAGCTTCCAAGATGCTTCCTTGGTCTTTAAGTGGCAAAATGCATCCTGCCTTACCATATACTCTCCTAATTGAAGTCTTAATCCGTAGAAAATTAGGATTAAA